GAGAGGAGAGGAGAGGAGAGGAGAGGAGAGAAGAGAAGAGAAGAGAAGAGAAGAGAAGAGAAGAGAAGAGAAGAGAAGAGAAGAGAATATTCAGAATAGTCACAAACAACTAATGTGAACAGAAACTGAAACAGTATCTTCAAAAAGTCTGGAAATACGTATCTTCTAAGTTTGAATACATACATATTCTTTGCATCTAGAAATTCCACCCATTCAAATATACTCAATAGGAATGTGTACACATGTTCATCAGGACAATAATTTTTAAATAGCCAAAAACTAGGAATAAACCAAATATCAAGAGTAGAACAGATAAAATATGGTATAGCACACATGTCATTGAATACAATAAAATATATCTATGAACAAACAGATTAAAACTAGGTCAGTGCCACAATGTTGGGTAAAATAAGTCAGACAAAATACCTATATATCTTCTATAATTATACTTAACATAAACTTCAATAACAGGCAAAATTAACTGTATTAGAAGTTTGGACAGCAGCTGCTCTTGCGGGCTTTATCTCTTGAATTCTGGTGATACTTTTTGATCTAGTGGCAAATTTACACCATGTAAACATTTGTTGCAAATTCACCAAGCCTAATTGATCAGGATTTGAGCATTTTCTTGTCTATATATTACATATTAATAACACCATTCAACCCCAGGCCTCTTATTATTCATCTGATAGAGATGAAGTGGGAGCTCTCTTTCTACAGCTGAACTCACAGAAACATTCATGGGTTTAACATACATCCAAACTCAGAGTAAAACTTCCTCCACACACCTCTGTCTCATACTGAACTCCGAAGAGCATCAGAGAAATGCCTCCCAACCCAGAAACTTTATCAGTTTCAGCACAGATATCTGCCTGTAGTTCATGAATTAAGAAACTCATACCTTCTGTCATTTTTGTGGATGTCAGGTACCACAACTACAAAACTCCATATGACATTTATCTTTCATACATAAATCTTCATAACTCTTTGCACAACCTCTATCTTGATCTTATCTCCTATCCCATCCTAATTCTGGAAAGAGGAAATCTCTCCACAATGTCCTATGGAATTAACTTTGTAGTATTACCAAAATCTTCACCAGTTCTCTGAATGTTGCTTTCTTCTCAGAAGATACTGCTTTTGCTACATGCACCTTCGTAGAGTGACTGCTTTTCCTCACATGCCCTGAAAGAAACTAGTAGGCCTAGAGGTAAAGTAGTTCACTTCCATCCTCCACTTCACCACTCTAGATCATTCTCCTTTCCCCTCTAACTGTCCACCTAATATTGCTTTAGGTTCCTGTTATTAATCAATCCCACCTCAACCACCCTGCCCTGCTCTATCACTCCCCAACTTAAATGATCTTAGCTCCTAGCTTATTATGACTCCTCTAAACTGCTCTTAAATTATTGGTGATTTTCATCTTGCATCCTGAACTATTAATTCCTAGAATACTCCTCTAGTACTACTGATTTCCTCCCTGCCTCAGCTACACAATCTTATGATCATAAGCTATGCAAACTGTTTGCTATCCAAGCTGTTCTCAAATATTTTGAGTACAGAAACCTCATACTCTTAAACAA